TAGCCAAAGGCAGAACGATGCTTTTCTAAGACAATTATTAAGCATAGGGATTCCTCCTGAGAAAGTTCATCACTTATGATCACAGGAGAATCCTGATCATTATTGAGAAAAGCATATCTAAGACCAGAAGGCAGGGGTTTAAGCTTAATGGCAGGCTTAGGTGGTTCTAGCAATTCATATACAGGTTCAGCTCCATGGGATTTTCATCTTGCTCCTCGATGAAGAACTAGGCATCATCTTCAAGATTGGGTTCGATCAAATAGTCAAGAGATGCAACCTTAACCTCTTTCATTGGGTCTTCCTTGAGAATTGGCTCACTCTCAGCATTTAGAGAATGAGTAATGGGTATAGAAAGTGTAAAGTTTTTCCCAAATCTTATATTCAACTTCCCTGTTTGTCCTTCTTGGATAAGTCTTTCGATTGGTTGTCCTATCAACAGGTCGAACTCCATAATATCAAAGATATAGAAGCTCAAATGAATTTTGGTTCCTTTTACCTAGATAGGGAGGACAAACAAGATTCTCAAACTCGGGAGAATGTGTCCTGAAAGACTTTTCAATAATTTTGTTGTTGGGGTCAATGGCATGTATTTCAATAAACCATGAGCAAAAGATGCAGACATGATATTAACAGCCACAACTGGATTATAAAGAGCATCGAAAGGAGCTTTATTAATCTGGTAATGAATGAATATAGAAGGTGAATCTAAACAAATCACATCAAAGGAAAGCTCTGGTTCTTCTAACCATTCATGGCTTATAATAGACACTAGCTCTTTCGTAGTCTTTTTAAGGAAAGCTTCCTTAGAAGGGTCTAAAGGTTCTTCATTGGATGATGATTTCCTAGCCTTCTGATAATTCGAGGTATTTCCATATTCATTAAAAAGTTCATCCTCGAATTCAAGCATGAAATCCAAAATCAAAGTTTCCTCCTTTTTCGGTGGTTCAGGATTTGAGATATCTGAAGTTGGTGATGGGTCTGGTAAAGATTCAGGTTCAGCTATCTAGGATGCTTTCTCTAATTGTTTCTCTTCTACTTCTTTAGGGATGTTCTCTAAGATTTTCGTAAGAATGCTTCTCCCCGCATTGGTAGAGACTACAAGAAAGAGACTCCTGAGGCCGTATTAAGAAGCTTTGAGGTTTTCCTATCAAGACCCATATAGAAGTGTTGAAGAAAAATAAGGTCTTGAATGGCAAGGTCAGGGCCTAGAGATTCTTTTTTTCTTTTGTTTAAAAGATAGAACCTCTGAGCGAAGTCTGACTACCCTAGAGATGGGAAAGAATTGCAAGCAAAAGCTAGAATACATGGCTTCTCAATCTCCTTGTCTACTCCCTATGGTGAGATTATACCAATATTTAGCTTTTCCTGTCAAAGAGAAGGGAAAAAGCTTCCATCGTAAGGTTTCGTCTGACATGCCTGCAATGCGTAGGCATGCATAAGTCTGCTCAAAACTCATTTTGGTGGGAATAGGGGCTTTCATCATCTTCACCAGAAAAGAGTTGATCCTAAACCATGTTGATTAAACGCGGGCGTAGCTCATAGCCAAGTGTTAGGATAGGCTTTGAAGAGTCTTTTGGCTATAGGCTTGCACTCGTAGGTGCACCATATTGGTAGATAGAGGTGGATTCTAGATCCATGATAAAAAGAAAAAGAAAAGATAAAAGAATAATGATACAAGGATAAGCTAGGTTCGAAGTTAACGCAGCAACCGTTTCTCAGGCAACGGCACTAGAAATGCTTGTTGGTATAAATTAATGCACACAGAATAATCTACAAGTGCACAGATAATATACCGATGTAGCACTTCACTGGGAGTACCCAGTTTTATATCGAGCTCGAGGAAACGTGTGTGAGAATAACTAAATCTAACTTATCCCAACTTCATAATCAATGCTAGATAATAGGAGCGTAGAGGAGACTGCTAAGGTCTTTTAGTTCTACTTCGGTAAGCTTCGTCTTCTATTGTAAAATTCTGAGGATATTACTAGAGAAAACACATACAGAGTATGTTTCCTATAGCAATAAAATCTTTCTAGGCCTACTAACGGGAGGTGGACTACAAAGGATTCAACGAGGCTATAAGAGTCACCCTCGCGAGCTGCCACTGATCCGAAAAATAGGGTACATCCATGAGTAACTGAGTCTAAGCACCACGTTTACACTACGAATACTACTTTAACCCAGGAGCTACAAGGATTAAAGTACTCAAAAGAGAGTCGCAAACCTGAAGAACAAGATGCTTACTTGAATTAGAAGTCGATTACCAAAGAAATCTCAGAAGCAAGCTCAAAAAGAACTTGATTCCGCCAGGGTACAAGACGTAGAGAGAGCACCGACAGGCCGAGACTCGTCTAAACTCTTCCCTCTCACTCTATCTCACTATCTCCAATACAAGACTAGATCCTATTGAGGACTAATCTTCTCTTGATTGCTAGCTCTGATCCTAGTGGATATATGAATTAGGGTTTCTAGCTTTTCAGCTCTTAGGATCAAATGAGACATGCCCTAGAGGGGGGTGCAGGCTAGTATATATAGGCCGAAGCGTCAATCCTGAGCCCTCGGATCAAACCGACTTAAATAAACGGCGGAGATGCAATCCTTAAGGTGGTGGAGAACCGACATAACAATGAGGCTGACAAGTGGGACCCACAGGGGCTGGACGGCCTCTAGGTGGGGCTAGGCGGCCCCACATGTCAGAGACACATGTCCCGCTTCGGTGATTCACCTTCTGGAGTCTTCTAGAGTCTTCTCACATTGATTACGCGGCGGAATTCTGTAATTTCTTTTGACGAATAGGTCCTCCTTGGCGGTTTTTTGATTAAATCCTACTGAAAACACAGATTCACCAAAACTCGTGAAATTTATCAGTTTAAACCCCTAAGTCTCCATTGGTTATCCATTTTATCCATTTATACAAGTTATATTGCTGGTTTATGATGAATGTTAACTACCGTCAACATCCTTCTTTTCCTAGTGAGAGCTTGCTCCAATTAGATTGATCAACCTTCATCCATCTCTAAGCCTTGCTCTCCATCTTGGTGTGGACCTAACCTAGCTTAATCACACACTTAGCAAAAGGTTAGTCCACTAGTTGTCTCAATTACCAAAACCAAACATAGGGCTTTCAAAGGGGCTCTTGTGCTTGTCCTCATAGGCGATCGCAAAGAGCAACTCCGTGGCTAGTTGGAGTGCATCACTTGATTAATTCTTGCGGCACCCAAGTTGTTGGTATTGCTTGCCACATTAGTTAGCGCGCGAATCATCACTTGGGGACTCGCCACAATATGGATGTAGGTTGCCGGCAAGTAACCAAACCACACAGATAAATCTTGTGTTCATCTCTTGCCCTCTGTGGTTTGCATTCTACACACTTGCTCTTTACTTTCATACCTTGCTTGTGTTGTGTAGTAGTTGCTTCTTAGTGGCTCTTGTGTGGTGTTCTAGAGTAGAAACCAAAGGTACCAGACTTGTGTAGGGGGCTTGCATTAGATGAAAGTAGTACTAGTGCAAGTAGAGGGTTGTATGGCTTATTATTGTACTAATCTCTTTTTGCACTAGTGCTGTGAAGTTTGTAGGACATTTTTATAGGTTATTCACCCCCTCTAGCCATCTCCTTTAAGAGAGGAGGACACCTCATTTGTGTTGTTTGTTTGCTGACTTAGTGTCCTAGCAGACGGTCTCGTAGGAAGGGTCGAATGGTCCGTCAGAATCTTGTTGACTCCATCGTGTTGACTAGTCAATTGAGGTCTAGCATGTTCTTGAGAACGGCCCAAAGGTAACTTTGGATGGTCCGAGTGAGCATCAAAACATTTGATTTCCCTAATTAAGGTGATGAATTGGGGATTGGGATCAACTATGCTTGTAGAGAGTAGATTAGCACCATTGGAACTTGGAGATTGTCTTCTGGTTGAGTGGTCGAGACCTCAAGCCAAATAAGTTGATTGGGTTGATTTGATTTAACCGGAGACGTTCATAGGATCTGCGAGCTTATTTTGGGGAAAACCGTCATTCAGGTTAAATTGAGATACTTTGTTAGTGAGCGTAGTCATTGTGGAAAAGAGAGATGCCACGGAGCATGGTCGAATTGAGTTTCACAATTCAAGGGGGGGGGGGCTGTCGAATGGTTAACGAGGTCAACATTGAGTATCAAGGAGGTGATGGCTAGAAGTTAAAGCTTCCAAGATTTTTTTGCAAAGTTAGAATTTGGAACGACCATCGGGTCATGATAGGGTCGGAGGGCACGACGGTAGGATTGATTTCACAAGGATGAATAAAGAGTCTGGTGTCTAAGTCTTGAGCATCATCGCCACTGAGCCTGTGCGCCACCACTATCGATCCCTCGTACCTTCGTGCTGTCGAGCCCTGCATCACCACCACATCCGTGGAGTGATCAATGGGTAGGCGAGCAGGTGGAAAAACATGCCTCTTAGCGTTGATGTACGGGCAGACACGCATGTTAGTTTGGCTTTTAAAACCCATCCACGCGATAAAAAAGTGGTGGATAGAACATGGTAGGGTGGATAATATTTTTCAATTGTTCCATATCGGTATAGATAGATGCTCCCTTCATCTGAATTATCAGACGTTTAAATATATAATAAAAATAATGTAAACGTCTTATAATTTGAAATGGATAAGGTAAATCGATAGATTCAACTAAAAGAAAATATAAATTCTAGTATCTCACGTTGAGCCTGTTTATTGGTTGGTTTTGGACTGATAAGCCCGGTTAGTACCGATTTATTGTAAGAGAAAAATACTATTCACCGATTGATAAGCCCTGGCTACTGTCTCGTCGTGCCGCAGCCAACCAATCACGGCCACCTGGCCCACCCCACTCCGCTCACCACATGCGCGGAGTACGGCAGCCGGTCGTGGTTTGACGCGAGCGCACCCAGCACTGCGCCGCGCTGACTCCCCTCCGGCCCTCCCGACGTTATCCAACTCCTACCTCTCCCCACCTCACCTGAACACCTGCTCGCCCCACCCCTTGCCCCGGCATGGCCGCCCTCCGCCCTCGCGCCGCCGTAGCATCGACTGGCCTCCGACCGGCAGTTCGGCGAGGCGCCCGTCGCTCCTCGGGGGCAGCGTTCCGATACTACACCTGCTGGCAGCTACAGGTTCTTTTTCTGATTTTTTACAGATTATTATGTAGCTCTGAAATTGGAAGTGGGTTTAGTGAATTCGTGTATAGTCAGGAGGCGATGTTGCTACTTATGGACATGGGAGCGCGGCGTTTTTGTGTGTGTGCTCGCGCGCGCGTAATTGGTGGGTTTGGTAACGGTTCTTGGGGGTTCTTGAGCCTGTAAAATTTTTCAAGGTAGGGTTTAATCTAACCAAGTAGGAGAAGGATTACTTGAATACTCTTTTTATCCGTAGAGTTTATCTTGCAAATTGCAATTTCTCAACTTCATTTTGGAAAGGCGATTTGGTTGATAGAGTTGACGGTTTACATGGGATCGATCCCATGTTCGAATTAAAATTCTGCAGTAGAGAAATTTAGTTAACATTCTTGCTTTTCATTTGATCCTAGTAGTACCTCATGAACCTTTAATTGTAGTAAGTCATTTCTTCAGGACAATGGAATTGCTAAACATCTAGAACATTTGTATGAGGTCCAATGCCTATTTACAGCCTTCCCCCATCAAGCCAATACTTTGGTATTGCCTAACATTTTTCCTCTAAATTTGAAGCAAAATAGAAACACTTTTCACCCGATTTATTCCCTAGTTATTCTACTGACTAATATCATGTTTGCTAAATAAAAGTTTAGGGAATTGTAATTCCAAGAACATTAGCGTATTGGTTGATGATTGTTTAATTTGAATTATGCAACTTTGATTGCTGAATATGCTTTGTTATCATGAAATAATTCCTCGTCAACCATGTGCTAACTAATATTTTTTCTCGAGATAAAAAAAATTACTTGACTTTAGGTGCATTTGTAGTTATCTTGCAAATTATAGTCACTCCGCTTTATTTTGGAAAGGCAATTTATTAATAAAACCTCCTTTTTAAGGTGGATTTCTTCGACTTGGCATTTTATTTGGGATCGGTTTCATGTTCCATGCTCGGTGGTTTGGAGTTAAATTTAATATTCTTTCTAATTGTACATAAGTCATTTCATGAGGACAATGAAATTGCTAAAACTTTGAGCATCTGTATGTAACTACAGAAATGTTCCTTACAAGTCGATGCACCAAGTATTCAATGCTTAGACGTCCAATGCTGTTTACAGCCTTTTCCCAAATATAAGCCAATACTCTGGTATTGCCTAATTTTTTTTTTTCTAAACGAAGCCATTTGAAACATAGTACGGACTTTTTACTTGATTTATGGAACAAAAGACACATTCGCTGTGCAATAAAAAGAAATGTTTTCCATCTACAGTAATAATAGTGATTGATCTAGTTGTTCTAAGTAACTAACATAACTGTAGTCTAAATATAAAAAAAGGGCAGACCCAATGCCGGAGGCTCCCACATGAGTGGGGTCTGGGGAAGGGAAAAACCGAGGCAAGCCTTCCCCCCACAAAATCTGCATAGAGGCTGCTTCGAACCCGCGACCTGGTGACTCAGTGAGACAGCTCTCATCACTGCACCAGGCCTGCCCTTCTATAACTGTAGTCTAAATATAAGTTTCAGAAATTTTAATGCCAAGAACATTCCTTTGTATAGTTAATAATTATTTTGATTGAGTCACTCATCTAAAATCTGCAACTTTGATTGTTTAATCTGCTTACATTATTATGAAATAGTTCTACATTATTATGAAATAGTTCCTTGTCAACATCGAAATGCAGGGAAATATTTTTAATTGGAGATCTATATCCGCAACTAAGAAATTATGGAGTACAGTAGCTAGTGCAAAGCCTGATGATTCTAAATTTGAAAGTGTGGATGCACCACTTGAGCCCCAAACATGGGAAGGCAGTTTCTTGTGTGGTCTGCTGAAGAACCTGCCACACATTTTTCTAGCTGCAGCAGCAAAGCAGCTGCAAGAACTGTCTCACCAGAGGGAAGACACCTTGAACCGCTGGGAGCATAGTATTGGTTCTAAAGAGGATTGCCTTCACAGGTTGGTACTTAATCTCTGATTTAAGTGATAGGAAACATGTTGTCTTAGGGGATGTGCTTTTATTGTTCTTTCTTCAATATTTTTTTATGCATATCGAGTAATCAACAGAAATTTTGTGCACGAACCGTGATGCTCTTTTGTGAATTTATAAGCACTGTTCGTTTTAATATACCCATTATCTCATATCACTTATTCACTTATGAAGAATAGTAGATAGATAAATCCTCGGTCTGTAAGCTACTTGTGTTTTCAGGAATAGTATTGAACCATTAGCAACTACTTAGATGAATTAAGTAAGTGCTTAAAATAGAGGTGGAAGCGACTACAAGGACAGACTATTTAGTGCTGATGTTGCAACTAAGACTCTGATTCAGACTAAGACTGTGCTACTGGAAATTTAGAAAAAAACTGGTGAAGCTTACACAACTTATTGCATAGTTGTCTTTCGTCTGAACATGTTATAAATTATCACCATTATAAATCTAAAATTGTGGACCATATGAAAGAATGATGGGTGTGGATTCATATTATTTGGGTGATATTCTAGTTATTGCTGTGTGTACTATATGTTTCTTCAAGAGTATCATCCTGAGAATGCATAGAATCTAGCTCGCAACATTCATTAAGGCTCATGAAGAGGATGCCCTGACATGGCAAACAGTAACAAAACCTGAAAATCCTTCCTAGTGTATTTGATAAATTTCTTGCTCTTTTGGGTTTTAGTATTTGTAGCTAACTAGTTTGTTGGAAACCCGACAAATAGGAGGATTGCTGAACTCAAGGAACAAGAGTGTCAGACAGCTATTGAGGACATCATGTACATGTTGATTGTTTATAAGTTTTTTAAGATTGAAGTTCCAATGGTTCCCAATCTATCGAAACTCATCAGCAACAGAAGGTTACAATTATGGCCACCAAGGGAGACAGATCTTGAATCCATTCATGGACCTGAGGTGCTAGAACTAATTAGGGAACACTTGACCAGCATTATCAGATGGGTGCACAGAAATGGTCCCAAGATTAATCGTTCAACACTTCGCATTAAAAGACTGCAATTTGGTCGGATGTATTCTGCTTCAATAATGTATGGATACTTCCTGAAATCTGTCAGCATCAGGCATCGATTGGAGCTGACTCTCACTCACTCAGAAGAACTTCTACCTCCAATTCAATTTCTGAATCCTCAATTTACAAATAAACAAGAGCAGGAAGAGGCCATTGGAGGCTCTAGGGAAGTTTCATCTTCTTCGAGACCAAACTATGTGGTCAACCCACACGACTTGAGGGGCTACATGATGGGCTTCGATCCAAAGACCTTGCAGCTTTGTGCGAAGCTGCGCACTTTTGAAGCTTCTAATCTCATCGAGAGGCACAGCTGGGCTCTTTTTGGGGGCAGCATGGAACTCTCCCAGGAGAATGATGAAGCGGTTATACTTGATCCTTCATCCCTGAAAAGACTACTGCTTGAAGCCATTGCATTTGGTTCCTTCCTCTGGGATGTCGAAGATTATGTGGACAAGATTTATAAGTTATCAGATAGCTGAAGAAAGTGATACAGAAAGCTCCTACAGCCTTGTGGTTGTGGATAAATGAAGCCAGCTGAAAGAGTAGTTGCAAGCTGTTATGTACATGTATATACATCTTCATCCCAAGTTTTCTTTTTGGAGGGGAGCTTGAATGTGCCCTACAAATTACTAGTACACAAATTTTTTTGTCATCTTGCACTATTGCTCAAAAGCATCTCCCTGTCAACACACAGGACATCTGACATAATTTTATGGCCCAAAATAACTGCACATTTTGCTAATGCAGAAAGGTTTATAATTTGGAATGAAATGAGTAGTATCAATATTTATACCTCGAAATAAGTTTATTATGTACCATAATTTTTTTAATTTAGTTAAATTTAAAATGGTTTAAATCTTCAAGAAACGAGATAGTAAGTTACTTTGGATACTTTGAAATGGAGGGACGGAGTACCCACATCTTGGACTCTGGGGGTGGGTTCTACGGGCTAAATTATAGTCCTATCATATCGGATGTTTAGACATTAATTTGAAGTATTAAATATAGATTAATTACAAAACTAATTGTATAGATTGAGACTAATTTGCGAGACGAATTATTAAGCCTAATCAGTCCATGATTTGACAATGTGGTGCTACAGTAAATACATGATAATGATGGATTAATTAGGTTTAATAGATTCATCTCGTAAATTAGTCTCCATCTGTGTAATTAGTTTTATAATTAACTCATGTTTAGTCTTTCTAATTAGCATCCGAATGTCCGATGTGACCGGACTAAACTTTAGGCTATGAAACCCAACACCCCCCTCCATTCCTAGCCGTAGTGAGGACTACTGTCTAGTGAGATGACTTCCAAAGCTTGTGCCAGGCAGGCAACTTGACATCTCGTGACCACGTGAGCTGCCAAAACCCCATGATGGCACCTGAGCATTCACAGGGTGCAAATTTCAGAACCCATCAGATGCCTGCACTCTGGAATACATGAAAATTTCTATGAAGAAATAACTTCTCTGAACTTTCGGTAAGAAAACAACTTCAGAAAAGTTCCAGTTACAAACCATTCGGCCATGGTAAAATATGAGCTCAGTGACATTTTGAGGAAACCTCATCCTCTCCCCCTTTTGATATTTCCTCGCTCGCTCAGGACACGGGGGCTGCTGCCAACAACTGGCTGTCCGGCACCGCATTTAAGCCCACCCTTCGGCCTCCTCCACTAGCTCAGAGAGATCTCAGTGCTCCCCTGTTCCCTCCGTCAAGAAAACAGCAAAGATCCAGTGCAGAGAGAGAGAGAGATGGAGAGAGAGAGCAAGAAACTCCATGGCACTCTCAACAAGAAAAGAGCCAGCCAGAGAGAGATCTCAGTCAGTCTCCCACAATGCCGGCAACCACGAAGCTGATCTTGCTCCCAAGGGCATGGGCAGCAGCGTCACTCATCCTGCTGCTGCTGCTTGTCCTCCATGGGAAGGGAGGCCACTGCATCGGCCTCGGCATGGAGGCGGCGGAGCTGGAGATGGACTTGGAGGCGCACCGGCGGCTGTTGTGGGAGGCGACCACCGGGCAGAGGTACATCAGCTACGCTGCCCTGAGGGGCGACGTGGTGCCGTGCTCCAGGACCGGGGTGCCGTACTACAACTGCAGGATCTCGACCACCGCCAACCCCTACACCCAGGGTTGCGAGAGCATCACTAGGTGCAGGGACGCAGATCCCTAGATTCTTGCTCCATCGCTTGCAAGGGAATCGAAGGGGTCCTGCCTCCTGCAACGCAAGGTGTTGCTAGATGCTAATGAAATGTAATATTTTGTGTTATATATCTCTTTTCTTGGTCCTTCCTCCTTTGCTGGAATATTAGTAAGTGTAGTAAGGAAGGACTAATGGATGAATTTCATGTTTGAGGTGCTCTAGACTTCTATTACCTTCAGATCTTTTGCTTCTGGTGCGGAGGTGAATGTGGGTATTTATACTGCTGTTGGCAGTGCAAGATGTTGATGAGCAATGCTTTAGATTATTATCGGAGAGACTTCATTGAGTTTTCAGTTTGTTGAAAAAGAGTTTTCGGGAACATGCAACTAATGTCGTTATAGTTTTTGGAAAATCAGCCAAAATATAATGTATGTATATATGAGTTAAAAGCATGATTTGAGTTCGTCTCCCCAATGCGGTGTGTTGAATGAACCACCTCAGGAAATGTCAGCGCCGTGCCTTTCAGCATGGCTGGTGCTGAAAATGCTGTGCATTCAACCATCCATTGCTTATTCGTTCAGAGCTCACATGGATGCACCGACAAGCTGCAAAAGTGTTGTTTTTTTAAAAAAAAAAAAGTTCAAACTGCCAGAGAGCACGCCCAGTTGGGTCCCTGAGGCCCTGACAAGAAATTGACTGTTGTCTGCTGCAGCTGGTACTCCGAAATTGGTCAACTACGTGACTGTCGATAGATATTCTTGTGCATGCCGGCGTTGGCCAGTTACTGGTAGACTGGTAGTGGTATAAGCCGGTTACTGCGAATTTTCACACTGGCCGTAAAAAGTTTTGCTTATTTATTTCAGGACGCTCCACTGAGCATCTCGGATGGCATCCCTGGTCACGATCCCAGATCCGTGGATGGGTAGAGTGGCAATGCAGCGAGCATCGACGCACTATTGACTCTCCGGTGGACGCCACCTGCACCAACCGCGGACTCGTATTCTCTGCACTACAGTACTGCAAAGACATTGAGACTGAGCATGTTTAAGCTCCGACCTGCTGGCACCCGAAGGTCCAGACGGAGATGAATACGTGAGAGGCTCCCACGCACGGTTTCTCTCCCTATTTTTCTTCTTCCTTATCGCGTCCCTACATGTAGGAATCGCTGGCTGAGGTAGACACTAGAAACAATTAAAAAATAAAAAGTTACTCCTATTGCGAAGCTTTCAGATACTAAGAAATTCTAGGGAGACGTGCGAGCCAGGCGCTTGAGCGCTCGCTAGCACGGTAGCATCCCTCCTTCTGATTGGCTAGCTGCGCTTCGGAGCTAGTGATTTTAACCCCAGATGCCCTTATTAAGCCACACAATGCCCCTTTGTCGCTTGCCATGCACCGCCGCCCCTGACCAACAGCGCCATGCCGTCAGTCATGCTCTGCACACCAACTTCCCCTACCATACCGCCCTGCTTATAAACCGGAATTGGAGCAGGATGACAACACAACCTTCGCCCCTACTGCCGATCCTGCCCATTGGATGTCCTCCGCCGCCTGCTGGGCGGCGCCCCTGCAGCCTTGCTCGCTCGCCACCGAATCACCCCACTACCAGATTGACTGCAACCGTCGATCCCCTTCTAAGGTCACCGGGACTCTAAACCCTAAGCACGTGGTGCCCAATGGAACGGACGGTCGGCTTCTAACGTTACCATAAATAGTCATATTAGAAAAGACGGGTACCATCCTCCGTGACTACTCATCATCCCCATAAACAACTATATTAGAAGAGATAGGATTTTTTTTCTTGCTCCAGTTATCCTCCAATAGCTTTTCTTTTTTTATGGTAAAAAAAACTCACTATCCCCCCTCAAATAAAGAGGAAGTTGCATATATCCTCTAATAGAATGTGTCACTTCTTCCATGCTCACTACCCACACTAGAGCTCACTGTGCACCATATGGTTGTAACATAGCATGCACCCTCCTCACCGATGTCGGTGGAACACCTAGAGCCATCCATGTCGCTTGGGCAAGTTCCTAGACCCTTCAACGCATGCGAGGTCAAGGCCAATGGAAGCACAAAACAAGGGATGGTGGACGACTCAATAAGTACTTTGCCTACAAAAGGAAGTCAAGGTGGAGGCACAGGTGGCGCAGTGAAATGTGCAAGGCAGGCTCGACTTCTCGCCGCAGTGTGGGAGAAGATATACCGAGGAAAGAGGAAAGAAATAAAAAAAGAAAATAAATAAAATGTAATCTAACAAGTAGATTACATGTATTTGGGGAGATTATTGGTCATCTGCTACAGCATCACCCTTAATAATCTAAAATGTAGTAATGGATTATCTCCATTACCACTAAAAGAACGCCAAGCCAATTGCACCGCCAAGTAGAAAAGAAAACGTGCGGAGCGACGCGCTCGTTTCCCGCCGGGAAAGATTCCAAGAGGTCTGAGCTCATGATTTTTTTCTCAATGGAATTCAGTTGTAGGTTTCTAATCCTATGGAATGCTTCTTTGCCTCTTCCTGTGAACCAAAGAGTAGGATAGGAAAGTTTCCTTAGGAATTTGAATCCTACAAAATTCCTTTCCCATTCCTTCAATCCAAAGGAGTCTTTATTGGGTATTGAGGAGAGATGTTCATAAGACTTATTTGGATCGGTACCTAGGAAAGACGTTTGAGCCAGACAGCTCCCAAGGCTATTGATTTCTAGGGACTGGGACTGTATTGACGTGTGTGATGCTTAAGCCAGACAGCTCCCCGAGGCTGTCAATTTCCAAGGCCTGGGATTGGATTGACGTGCGTGAGCTATGAGCAGGGCTCCCCTTGTGAGGCCACGATCCAAACGCCCACTTATGGCAACCAAAATATTGCAAAAAAGATAACCTTAAGCATTTAATGTTGCTATAGAAATACACCACAAACATTGTAAACACCTTAAGCTTATGATTAACCACAAGAGAATTAAAAAAATTAATCTCCTCTTTCTTCGAGCATCGCTTCTCTCTCTTAGGTTGATTGATCTAGAAGCTCGATTTGGTGGATGAAGTCCTTGGCAACGTGTGGTGGTGGAATCGCGCCTGGCGGCAGCGACCAGCGGGGATGGCAGCGTGACCGAATGACCGGCGGCAATGGGATCTGGAGAGCCAGAGATAGAGAGAATAATAGTTTCAGCCGAGGAAAGCCTACAGATGTGGATCCCACGCTTAGGTCCCGTTTGGTAGGGCTTCACTTCAAGTCATTTTTTTTTTTGCTTCAGCTCCACGAACAGTTTCACCGGTGGAGCTGAAGCGATTTTGGTAAACTGTTTGGTAAAATAGCTTCCCTGTGAGAGCATGTTTTTAGAGGCCTAGAGGAGAAGTCAGGAGAAGCCACTTTTTTTTTTTGGCTCCATCCCACCCCCAAATCATTGTGAGAGCATATTTTTAGGGGCTTCACCAGTAAAGCTATTTCACTTTAGCCCGTTTAGCAAAAAAAACGGCTCCTGAAGCTGGTGGAGAAGTCCTGCCAAACGGACCTTAATGTCAATATTGTGCATGCCCTAAGCAAGTCAGGCGCTATGGTTCATCAAAATGTAACAAAGCAAGAAAGCAACACCAGCTCTACATTTTTTTTCACTGTGGCACTTTAATTCACAATGTCCTCTTTTAGGTCAGTTCTGGGCTAGTCTGCGGCGATAGATCTCCAGGAAGATTCGTACATGATAATCAATCGACCATCGACAGTACCCCGCAGGAGATAAATCAATCGACCACCATAATCAAGAACGCATGGTAATGCCGAGGGCAAGAGCAGAAACCACCGAATTATTATTGGCAAACACCTGATTGACATTCTCATATGACTCCCTGCGAACAACTACCAAAAGAAAATCCATAAGCCACCATCATCATAAGTGTGGCGGTGCAGTGCCATGGCACCCTGCGCCACGGCAAAGAAAGACACTGGTACAGGAGGGCCTTGCCGTGCATGGCATCTACTCCTTGTACTTCATGCTCTCAAACGTGAACCCAGGCATGTCGAAGGAGTCGGCGAACTTCTCCACCTGGGTCTTGAGGTTCTCAATGTTCTTGTTGTTCACCAGGCCCTTGTTGAAGTCCTTGAGGAGCTTGCCGTACTCCTTCTGGATGTTCAGGCAGATGGTCACTGCCTGGTGGAGGAACTCTCCAATCTGCTCAAAGTCCTTCTCCACTAGACCCCTCGAGGTCATTGCTGGCGCACCTGAAGTGGATAGCAAAGATATGTGACTAATATTGTACTATATAGCAAGAATATATGAGAAACTTTGTTTAAGCATTCCAGGAATGTTGTAGACTTGTGGTGCAATAGAATTTCCTTCCAGAGCTTAATATGAGATAATACCAGCAGCGCTGAATAGCATCAATACAAATGAAAACATATTCTACTCTGAAGATTGGGTTACAGTATTTTATTGTATGACATTATTTTCCAGTAGAGTTCTTAGCTGTGTTATGGTGTTAACAGCACTTTCAGGGTAAAGCATTAGCGGACGATACTGGACAACCAATAAGTCTTGGATTACACATGTAGGCCATGTATTTTGTGACACCAATAAAGCAAGGTTTGGAACTTTGGATCTTGACAACCACGAATTAACATTTGCAAGAGCTAAACTACTCTGCGAAGGAAAAATGTGAAGAATAGTATGAAATGGAACCAGAACTATTAATCTAACTGCAACAGTTCAAGAGATCAGATGATCCTTCAGGAGGCATCCCTTCACAGGGAACAAGGACCAAATAAAGGCACAAGCATCATTCTATATGGATTTGGGACAATGGTAACCAGTGTATAACGGTCCAATAAAATATACTTGCAATTCAGAATTTAAAAGATTACACTTGGCAAAAGAGGGCATGTGAATCAGGCATCAGATGCATCATGAACAAATGTCCGGAAATATTGAAACTTTACCGCTTTCAGGAATCATTTTGGGGCTGTTTAGTTAGGCATAAATTTTCCATGGGCAGGCCAAGTCAATTTTTGGCATGCCAGAATCAGGGCCACCACTTTGGTGGCCAACATTTTGGCTTATTGGTCACTAAGATGAACTATGTGGCCAAATCAGAGCTCTAATCTAAATTTTGGCACCCAACCAAATGGTAGCCAAATTTTGGCTTGGCGACAATGGGCATACGAGGGCCAGACACCAAGGAAATGTCTAGACAACCTCTTCATTAAGAAGAAAGGCTCAAAGACCATCCCAATTTTTCAAAGTGACATGTGGATAGCAATGTTGTACTAATACTTTATTTAGGCTTGCACCACAACAGAAGTAATGAACAAATTAAATGATACTAACCAATGCGGACACCACCCGGAGCCAATGCACTGCTGTCACCAAAGACAGCATTCTTGTTCAATGTTATGTGGCAAAGGTCACAGAGCTTTTCAACCTTGTTTCCTGCAGATATAAGACAACATTAAAACAAGTTATAATATGGCCCCTCGAAAATGAAACCCAATTAGATGCTAATTTGCATACCAGTCAAGCCAAGAGGGCGGAGATCCCAGAGAACAAGGTGGTTCTCAGTTCCATCAGTCACCATCTTGTAGCCCTTGCTCATGAGATAGTTTCCAATTGCAACAGCATTGGCCTTCACTTGCTTTGCATACACCTTGAAGCCAGGTGTCATAGTTTGCTGCAGAGCAACAGCAAGTGCAGCAATCTGGTGGTTGTGAGGGCCACCTTGGAGAGATGGGAACACAGCAAAGTTGATCTTGTCTTCATAATCATACACAGCACCCTCAGGCTGGCCCTTCTTCGGGGGCTTAGGGCCTTTCCTGTAGAAGATCATGCCAGCCCTTGGCCCTCTGAGAGACTTGTGTGTGGTAGTGGTAACTACATCACAATATTCAAAAGGATTTGCAGCTTCCTGAAATGGAGTAAGGCAAATAGTGAGATTTTTTTAACACAGATTATTCAACTAACTAAACATTTGCAGTGAATAATCTCTTCAGGTCTCGTCCAGACTCCAGTACTCAAAAGGACAATATGGAAGCATTAGCCAAATAATATCACCTTCTGTACTATGGCCCTAGAATGTGCATTATTGTGCCTCCCGACTCCAGCACTCAAAGAAGGACGATATGGAAGGATTAGCCAAATCTTATCACCTTCTGTACTATGGCCCTAAAATAGTGCATTAGCTAAGTCTACACACTAAAGTTGAGTAAGAAATCTGTATGCCTCGTATTACAGCAGACTGTTTATTAGATTCCACTGTGGATTGCCTATATATGCATGATTATTGCATAACAAAAGTAGACCAAAGGTCACTACTGTAACATTAACATGCATGAACCCAAATTTGATAAGCAGTAATGTGCACAAGGATGCGCAATGTGATTTGCAAAAACACAACTATGCACAAGTTCTCTTATATATTGTCGTCAAAGAGTAAAAATTGTTGAGAACTCGTGCAAAGGTTGATTTCAATTGGTACGTGACTATCTGAGTGCACAGGTTCATATCCATTGAGAATACTCCAAAACACCAAAATAAATGGAATATCAGATCTATCACCATCAAAGGAATATATTTTTAGACAAACTAAAGCAGGACAAAAATATCCATTTCCACGATTACAAGCCACATTTTGATATTGATATATATAAAACAAAGCAATGCACAAAACGACAGACAGCAAAGCGTCCATATAAAATGTTCCTAAATCAGTAAACTTGCAAAACACTCAGATCTATAATATGCGATTAAACAATACAAGACAATGCACAAAACGACAGACAGCCAGCGTCCATATAAATGTTCCTAAACACTCAGATCTATAATATGCGATTAAACAATCCAACATTTCGCTCGGTCACCAGAATTGATTGCTGATCCCAAGTAGAATCTAAACCACCACATCTACCATATCCATCCAATTGCCATTTCAACAGGACTGCACAGCATGAAGATCTAATTTCATGAAACCAACTAGTTAATCGAGATCATTGTTATCAATGAACGTTGTACCTGAGCCGCGACGAGCCCGCTGATGTGCGCCATGTCGCAGAGCAGCAGGGCCCCGACCTTATCGGCGACGGCCCTGAGCCTGGCGTAGTCCCAGTCCCTCGGGTACGCGCTGCCACCGCAGATGATGAGCTTGGGGCGGAAGTCAAGAGCCTTCTCCTCAAGCTTCTCGTAGTCGATGTACCCGGTGGTGGCGCTCACCTTGTACGGCAGGCTCTCAAAGTAGATCGAGGTGGCGGAGATCTTCTTCCCGCCGGCCGTGTAGTACCCGTGGGTGAGGTGTCCGCCGGAGGGAAGGTCGAGCCCCATGATCCGGTCGTGCGGGTTGAGCAGCGCGGTGTAGGCGGCGAAGTTGGCGGGGGAGCCCGAGTAGGGCTGCACGTTGACGCCCCAGGACGCGGCGTCGAGGTGGAAGGCAGCGAGCGCGCGTGACCGGCAGAGGTTCTCGATCTCGTCGATGACGTCGTTGCCGCCGTAGTAGCGGGCGCCGGGCATGCCCTCAGAGTACTTGTTGGTGAGCGGAGAGCCGAGCGCCTCCATGACGGCGAAGGAGGTGAAGTTCTCGGAGGCGATGAGCTCGATGCCGCGACGCTGGCGCCGCTTCTCGCGCTCCAGGAGGTCGTAGATCTCCGGGTCGGCGCCGGCGAGCGGGGTTAGCCCCCATGTGGCGACGGGGTCCATGGCGGCTGCGGCGGCGTGGGAGGGGGTGACAGGAGTGGCGGCGGAGGCGAGGAGGGGGCGGGGGCGGGGGCGGGGGCAAGGACGGGGGGGGAGGGAGGAGGGGTGCGGGGATATATAGCGGTGGTGGACGGGAGAAGGGCGCGTGTGCACATGTGGAAGGTGGGTGGTGGTCGTGGTCGTGGTGTTGGTGGTGCGGTGCGGTGCGGTGGGTGCGGGTGCGGGTCGGGTGCGGGTGCGGGTGCGGGTGCGGGTGCGGACGAGGTGTTCGACGGAATGCGGGGGCGGAGATCGGTGTAGTCGGAGGGGGTTGGTGTGGGCGCGCCGGCGCGAGACGCGGATTGCTTGGTCGGGTTGGGTCTTATGGGCTGGGCTTTGATGTGGGAACTGTGGCTAGGGCCCAGGGAGGAATCGAGTGGTTCTAGGCTTCTAGCCTTCTGGAAAATGTTCCCCTAAAAAAAGCCTTCCTGGAAAATGTTCTCTCTTTTTTTTTTCCTAAAAATGAGCTATGAGATAAAGAATATTAGTGATACTTATAAATTTTGAAATGACTAATAAGGACTATGCCATGCATTGTCCAGTGTAACCCTGTTCATCGTTTGGTTATTGCGGCTTTGAGCAGGTTTGCAACCCAACCCATTCTTTTAGTACACGGATTGGGTTGGTCCGGTTTATGCGGTCACACAACGGCTCCGACGTCGTAGCTGGATTGGCTTGGTCTGGTCTAGTGCACGGGTTTACACGGATTAGTACTTGCAACGCTGGATTTGCAAATGCATTATCACCTCCAACTGCCCTGAGCAAAGCTGTCGCGCTCGTCGCCGCTGCTGCCGCGCTCAACCTCGCGCCCGCCCCAGCAGCAGCACTCGAGGTCGCGCTCGCCGCCGCCGCTGCTGCCGCGCTCACCAGCACCGTGCTCAAGCTCGCGCTGCTCGAGCTCGCGCTCGCCGGTGCCACGCCCGCCGCCGCCGCCGCGCTCGAGTTCGTGCTCGCCGGTGCCGCTCCCGCCGCTGCAACGCTCGAGCTCGCGCCTGCCGCCACCGTGCCCCCGCATCGCTTTTCTTTTCTGGGTTTCGATGGTTTAGATGGTTTCTGACCGTGACCGGGGTAGGAGGCTCTCGAAGCCTGGTTGGGTAGATGGGTTCCAGCCCAAACCGTATTGTAACTGTGACGATGGTTTTTGGCTGGGCTGGTTACGGGCCGGCAGCCGGTTTTGTTAAACCGTTGTACAGGGTGAGTCCAGTGGATTCATATATGGGTCGATATGTATATTTTTGTCTAAACTCATTTTTAAATACACCTTTGGGGCAATTTCAGGCAACTAAAATTTCACCCTCTCGAGCAGTTGGTGACGCTACATCATCGTTGTAGCTCCATGCTAGTTCCATTGCTAGCATAGAGTGTGTAATGGCCTGATATAATCTCAATTGCCCTATCTTTATCTCCACAAATAGAGTATAATTAAATGTTAAGTTCTATCTTTTTCTATGTTATTTTTTACTAGTAAACATGTCAACGTGTTGCAACGGACAATACATCTTGAAGTCAGACTCTATATCGTGAGTGGATATGCACTATTCTAATTCCTATAAACAGAGGTTGAGTTTGAAGTCACGCCGACATGACTCTTATGTAGTGAGTAAAGGGATAGATAGATTCGGGAGAGAATGAAGGAAGAAAATTTGAAGGAGAGAAATCTTCTTTCTTTAATATTATAATAATATTATGTATAAATTCCAGCTCTTTTAATTCGGTCTCAATAATCGTATCTCCACATTGCTCCTCAATATTATTTTTGGCCATGTTTGTTTCAGCTTACATGAGTCTCGCTTATAAGCTGGGCAAGATTATATAATAAGTCATGCGTTTGGCTGTCCTGATTATTTCGAGTAGAACATTTTGCACTGGGACCCCTGGACTTTTCTCAAATCACGCAGCACTGTTACTACTATTCATGTGAGTCTATAGCCTTGCAACTAGACCCAGATGAAAGTTTCTATTTGCGTGCCGGTCCTTCTTCTTCAAGATGGACGCAGGAGCTCCAAAATACGACCGTGCTCCAGGCGAGGAGGAGCTCCGCACGACTGGTGGGAGGAGCTCCAAGCGAGGAGGAGCTCCGGTGGCCGGCGGGAGGAGCTCCAGGTGAAGGTCGGGCACCTCTGGAGCTTGCGGTGGTGGAGTCCACCGGCAGGAGGCCAGATCTGGCAGGGTCCTACCCATCGACTATGGATCTACGTCTGGGAAGGCGACGGCGGCGATGGCGCTGTGGTGCGGCACCCGCATTGGAGGGAGAGAAGGGGGCGAGCGCACGGATGAGGTGGGGCAGGGAAAATGCAAGTTTCCAAATCGCGGATTCCCAGTCGCGTTTCGGCCAACACCTGCGGGTGACTCCCAATCGCAAATGCGCGTTTGCGTTGGCCCCGTTGTCACGACCCATTTGACGGGATTATCCTGCTTCTCCCGGTCGCAACGCGTGTTTAAGCGGAAACAACAGGGCCTTACTCTAGGGTGGAGTACTCTTATTCGATATCCCAACTACTAACCCTTAGAGTTAATTATATTGCTATGAAAAACTAGTCTAATTCATTTGTATGAAGGCTATAACCTAACCTGTACCCAGCGACAAACATATTTAATCCCCAAATTGATTTTCATTTTCTCCTCCTCTACCAATCCTTATAGGCCTATTGCCGACACTCCCTTGATAGCTCTTTCTCCTTGCTATACTCAGTCTTATCCACGAGAAGCCACACGCACAGCAGAAACTCTACTGCTCCTTGCTAACGTAGTAACACGTCTTCCTTCTTTTGGAGAGGATTTGAAGTCTTCATTTTTCAAGTTTAGCGTTGATTTGATTTGGATTTAAAGAGGAACTTGAAGATAGGAAGGTTTGAATAATTTAATTCGGACTACTCTAGTCAATGCTAGAACACCTATATAGAATAAAAAGCATATCTATATGCTACACTCGGAGTCTATTTTCAACATTTTAGTACTCCATGAAAAGCTTATTTAGTTTCCTATGTTATGGATGGAGTCCAAGATTTATATTCTACATGATTGCACCACAATATGTGTGACAGTGAGAGGAACAAACATCAGTCGGATTCCAAGTGTATAAAGAGTGTGGTTTCTGGTTTTCGGTGTCCTAGGTGCTGTATAAGTTAGAGATATGTATCCTCGTAACCTTAGACTAGAATTATGAATTGAATTAGCTATTTGCTTCTACATGATCAGGGTCTTATGTTTGTTCTTCGTATACATGTCATAGAGGGGGAATCGGGCATTGCAATCAAAATTGTTCTTTCTTTTCTGTTGGGAATTGAGGGAGCGATAGGTACATCAATGAAGGCTACCTACATGGTCCATGGAGATCAAAGGATATTGCAGCTTTGTAGCTTTCGTCTTCCACTGTTCTTTTAGATAAGGAAACAAAGTTCAAGTTCCGGTCTAGGTACATCAATGAATGATAACCACATGGTCCATGGAGATCAAAGGATATTGTAGCTTTTGTCTTCCACGGTTACAACTTCGATATTGCTACAACAACATCAAGGTCCGCATGGAGCTATGCCGTCTTCTTAGGCTCCACTTTTTGAATCATTAGCAACCACTCGTTTCTTTTTTTATCGCGGCTCACCATCACCAAATAAACAGACTACAAAGACTCTAGCTTTCCAAATTAGTGCAAAAATGTTGTTCCAAAAGGACATAGGGCAACCTCTCGTTACACCTCCATGATGCCTCACTATCCCTTCCTTCATCTTTCATTAGACCTTGATTGAACTCTATCCTAGTTTTCATGGGAAATAAAATCAACCCAAATAAGAAACACTATTAAAAAGGTTTAGATTTTTGTGAGGCACGGCAACATTTTGTTATGGATATGCAGTTGTAACATTGGACATGTCTTTGTGTACTCTGTCACACTCTCTCGGGTATGCTCTTTATTGACATCACAATGCTTGGTGAAGCTTAACTTTTTTCTAGCGCTGTAGTTAGTAGTTACTACTTAGACCCTATTTGAATCACATGGACTAACAACTAACTTTTTACCCTTAGGATCCAAACATGTTGTTCAATAGGTGGGATAACTTTTAGCTAAAACCCCAACTACATATTGGTCCATTAGCTCTCCATACCGATACCAACCGACAAAAAAGTCCATTTCCTCCTCACTTTTCTCACCTTCACCTCTGGCCCACCTGTTCGAGCTCACCATGACTCTTCCTCGTGTAGCCACCCGCCCTATTGGTCTTCAACACCGAGGTGGTGGCCTTGCTCTGGTGCCATCAATAACGAGCCAAGTAGAGCTCCTGCTCCACCTGCTTGTTCCTGTTCCGTGGCAATGCGGTGTGATAAGCGACAAAGGGGGACAAGGCTCATGCATGTCAAGGAGCGAGTGGGGAGGCCATGGAGGACAAGGCATGTGCCCCGGCCTTGATTAGCTCGCGCCGAGGTTGTTGACAATGGAGGGGCTAGATCCTAGTGTCAATCTATGTAGCTTCAATGTCGGTCAGCATAGACTAGCCATAGATCAACGTGTGTTGTTATTGCCTCGTTGCAGCGTCTATACAAGCATCCCTTTGATATCAACATCGACGGATCTGAGGGCCACCCTTGTGCTATGTTGCCGAGAAGGTCGTGCGCTATCCAAATCAATGCGGTGGCAGTTGATCCTAGCGTCACCCCTCCTTTTGCGATGTCGGATGGGTGAGAGAGAAAAACGAGTTAGAGCGATCAGAGAGAAGAAGAGAAGAAGGACAAGGGAGGGGCGCTCTTGTCTACTTTTACTTATCCACAAAACTATTAGCTGGGATCCAAACACTTTTGAGCCAAGTTATAGCCGGTTAATTAGCTGACTAATTTTTTGCTAGGCTAATGCCTCCTTTAATTTATAGGAAAAATAGAGAAAACATAGGCTTGGAAAGTCCTATAGGAATTACTATTGTTCATACCTTTGGTTCAAAGCATAGGAATAGAAAATTTTCCTTTGCTTGCTA